TCCTGAGGAAATAGCTTTGTGCCTGAAATGTTTGGACAGATAAATACTAAAAGCATGCTCCATGCATACTTCAGCACATTCTGTACAAGGTCATGAAAATTCCAATATCGTCTTATTTACGCTTTTTTTATAGTGTTCTTTCTCTACATATGGACTGTTCTAACTTTTGTTTTCTTTGTTTATACCATCACTGAAACATGTTTTATGTCATTTAGGGCCCTTAAGGGCTTCTAAAAATAAATCTGTAAATAAACTTACATTATTAAAAAAATTAGATATATTTTTTTTTTGTTTCCTTTTTGGGTTAATATACATATTTTTGCAGGTGGATATAGAGTGGGTGTCCTATATTGACTGTTTGGTGATTGCTTTTAACTGGGAAACTCCAAGCAAAAAAAAAAAAGCATGAGGCCCTCCTAAAAATCTACATTGGACCCTTATTTGACCATGCTTGAAAGGAAGGGGATGAGTGTGCAGCCCATCTCCTGAACCATACCAGGCCACATACCCTCAATATGGGGGGTACCTTTTCCCCATGTTGATGAGGACAAGAAACTCTTCCCTACAACCCTATCTTGGTGATTGTGGGGGTCTGAATTAACAATAATGAATTTAACAATAATGGGACACACAGATACTGCCCCCCCCGGGTAGTTTAAACACATTTTTACATTTTTTTTATTTGTAAATTCACCACTTCACAGCCAGGGTCAGGGCATCTCCCGTTTATGTTTTTGGCATTTTGACAAGCCATTTGTTTGACAATCTCTAGCATTATGGCCTAGAAAATGGAAATTACTGTTGTTTAACATTCAGCTCCAATTCAGTGGGGTTTAAATTCTGCAACCAAATTTAGTCATGTTCACTGAACCTTCCCCAAACTGAACCCAGGTAAGAAAAAAATATACAGATTAGCAGCCCACCTTTGTAGTCCTTATTGGATAGGCCACACTTGCTAAAGGAGAGAGCAAACAGATGGCATGTAGAATTTAAATATACTATCTTGTTTTAAAAACTAACGATAGATAAAGATTACAGATATTTAGCCTGTGCGATATTAATCCACTGACCATTGACACATTTGACCCATTCACTTCACTCGTGCCAAATGACTGCTCCTGGTGCCTACCACTAAAGAAATCAAAGGGGTGGGGTTCCTAAGTGACAAAACTGACCAAAAATTGACATCACCAAATTTGGTAAATTATGTCACCTGGAAGACCCTGTTTATATTTTGTGGTAAGGACTAAGAGTTGACATTTGTTTTGAGCTGTTAATGGTAGGGGATGTGTTAGCTGTCAGCAATTTTTCTTCTTTTGGCAGGTCAGCGTTCATTGTTCAATATGATTGATATAAATGTGCATCCATGGACAATGAGACTGTTAATGGATTTACATCATAGGTAATCAAGGAGGGAAAGAGACACTGGTTGTTAGGACACAGGTTGGTGCCAACTACCTAACAATCAAGATCCCTGAGTAGAAAGTTTCACATTTTCTCTATTGGTCGTATTTTCTGTAACTCTTTTGTTTAAATGTTCTTACGGCTTTGAACTTTTAGGATTGAATGTTAGTATGAAACCCATCCCTGTGAGCCTACCCCATGACCTCCTCCTCCAAAACACCACTATGACAACCATATTTCTTCTCCTCATGTGCCTCCTGTACCTATTGAGGCCTCATAGGAATGGTATCTGGATAAAGCAGGCCCTGAGACATCACGGAGTCTTCTTATTCCACTTATTGCTGTGCCTCCAGTGCTCTCTCTATAGTACCACATTATCTGCTCCAGCAGGATGACCACAGGAATTGAGATGCTGATGCTTGCATTGTCACAGCTCACCAATCTAGTTGCCTCTCCAAATAGTGCAATATGGTGCATACATGATACCGTATGTGAGTAGACACTGATGTGAGGAGAACTCCAGCTGCAGAGAGTGAAAATTACTACAGTGCAGCCAACAGTACATGTGTGGTACAAGGGATACACAGCTGAGCTCTGGCGAGCAGATCAGTAGGTAACAGTGCACTTCACCCATGGAGCTCTGCCATCAGGTGGAATAGGATGGCTGCTCCCTTGGCCTGACTTTGGATGACATTCTGCCTTGCTGATGTTGTGCCTGTCCTTCACATTATTCCTCTGCTATATCTGGCACCAAAGTATGGTCAAACATTTTATCATCATTCCCTTTATCTTCATCATTGGAGCCAATTTGACAGGTTCAGTAGGCTTCAGCAGCAGGAACATCTGTGCTAACTGGTTTTCCCTGACTGTCGCACCTGACACTATGTTCCCATTGCTCTCCTTATCAACCTCAAATGCAATTAACTGATGTGCAACTTGTTGTAGTAAGTGGCTGATACTGGGCTAAATGGGGCAACATCAGGAGTAGCTGTGAATGAAGGAGTTAGAGCATGAGGGCTTGAACAGCCACTCCACCACATCTTCAGGGTATACTGGGTGTATATCATATCCAGTGCCACAAAAGAAATGTACAGTTGACCTGCCTCTAGATGCTGCATTCCCGTTATTGCTTTGGCCAGTGGATATGGATGCTGTTGGCTTCCTGATAACTACATAGGAACCACTTCTGCCTTCCTTTGGGTATACCAGACATGATGTTGTTGCCTTGGGGCTTTTTACATACTTTTATTAGCAAATATGGCAAGAGTTGTACATGGGGAATGCGGTGCTTTGGTGCACTGGAAACTGTGGTGCCTTTGTGGACTAAATTGTATTACAATAATATGCAGTGCTCCATTGCAAACAAAGTGCAGCATTGTGGTTTCAACACTCACTTTAGATAGCCTGTTTTTGATGCTGGTCCTGTAAAGGAATAGACATATAACCCTAACAAAATAAAAATATAGAGCTAAAGGCCAAGAAAAGGAAAAACACTAAAAAACCCAAAGAGCAACATAAAAGATTACATGCAAAATAAAACCCCTTAGTAAATAAAAACCCTGAAAAAAAGGAAACTCTAAACACAATTGGATCTTATGAAAACACAGTGAATGCAGGTGAGCTTAAACTCCAACCTCTGCAAAGTATCACTGTGAATATTACAAAGGTGTATATAGCACTGTATAGCTGTGTAGCACACTACACTGGAAAATCTAACTCCGCACAATTCTGTCAGCTGGCCCTTACACTAAACTTCCACATAGGACTGCTGGGACAGCAGCCTTTTATAGTGTGTGGGCTGCAACTTTGTACAAAACCATCATTGGCCAAAGCCTTACACCGGACCAGAAGTTATAGTGCAGGACTTTGGCCAGTGATGTTGGCAATGCATAAGGGGATGTTCACGGAAGCAATGCCTGCTAAACATTCCAAAAGTTTGGATTTTGTCTGAACAGCCAAATCTCAGCACTAATTTAAGTTGGGACTGAACTCTCCAGTCATCCCTAAGAAAAACAAATACAGAAAAAAAATACAGGTAATCTCTCCAATACCTACTTTTTATCTGCAGGGACATCACACTAGGTTTTTTCCTGCAGATAAAGTAAATTATCTCTTGATCTTGTCAGACATTCAGTGTGCTCCTAACTTTCTATGATTGCTGTGCTTAAATGCCAACCAATATTATTAGCCCCACTGCTTAAAGGGTAAATTCACCCTTGGAAAATGTTACTTGTTCCATCCATTTTTATGGTGGAACTTGTAACATGTTCCAGCAGCAGATTGTAACATGTTCCCTAATCTCTGCCTCTATCTGACAGCGGGTGGGAGATCCTCTCCCTTCATCCGCTGTCACAACTTGAAAATAATGTGGCCGTGTGGAGCTCACATGGCTGTGACATTCATTCACAGTTTACTGTGAATAAATGTCTACAAGTATACAAGTACCATCAGCCATTGCAGCTGATGACTTCTCACTGAACTGCAAGGGAGCTGGTGAGCACTCTCATAGTCTATTAAGCTTCCTTCTCTTGAGTAACTGCCTGCCTATATAAGGTATGGCAGACAGCTATGCAGAACGTCTGTCTGCCTGCTGATCATTGGTGCAATGCTCTGCAGGCACCTGAGAAAAACAAAATGTCCATTTATTAATTTTTTTTAAAAAGGTAAACATATCCATTAAATGCTAAGTTCACCTTTTGTAAAATAAAATAAATAAATGCACCACTATAAATTTTCCATGCATAAAACTTAGTAAAAAGGTAAACTTATCCATTAAATGCTAAGTTCACCTTTTGTAAAATACATTTAAATAAAATAAAATAAATGCACCACTATAATTTTCCATGCATAAAACATAGTAAAATGGTTAGTACACTTACCTTGCCCATATGCCATCCCTCAACATTGCTGACAAACTTCATACTGACCTGTTGCCACTCCACTAAGATTTAAGTGTAACCTGCTCAATACTGAACAGTTTCTTTATGAAGATTCCCGCTCTTGGTTCCTGCTCTGCATGTGCTTGCAGGATACTATCTTCATTCAGTTTAGAATAACTGCATATCTCTTGCCTTCACAGGAAATATAAACTTTGTATTGGTATAAATGGAGTTTGTGGTAAGATAAAAAATTATGTTTTAAATAAAGTTAAATAAGTTATGAGTATATGAGGTTTTAGTGATTTTGTTTACATCTACTTTTATTTAACCACAAGCCTACAGGGCACTTATACCCCATTCCTGCCAGGCCAATTTCCAGCTTTCAGCGCTGTCACACTTTGAATGACAATTGTGCGGTCATGCAACACTGTACCCATATGAAATTTTTATCATATTTTTGTGACAGATAGAGCTTTATTTTGGTGGTATTTAATCACCTCTGGGTTTTTATTTTTTCTTAAACCAAAAACCACTGAAAATTAAAAAAAAAAAAAAACTAATTTTCTTAGTTTTTGTTATAAAATTTTGTAAATAAGTGATTTTTCTCCTTCACTGAAGTGCACTAATGAGGCTGCAGTGATGGGCACTGATAGGCTGCACTGATAGACATTGATAGGTGGCACTGATGGGCACTAAAGAGGAGGCACTAATAGGTGGCACTGATGGGCATAGACAGGCATCACTGATGGGCACTGAAAGGCATCACTCATATATGGCACTGATAGGCGGCACTGATAGGTGGCACTGATAGGCGGCACTGACTGGCACTGTTGGGCGGCACTGATAGGCAGCACTGATGGCATTGATAGGCGGCACTGATGCACACTGATAGGTGGCACTGACTGGCACTGATGGGTGACACTGAAAGGCAGCTCAGATGGGCACTGATATGTGGCATAGATGTGCACTGGTAGGCACTGATATGTGGCATTGATGTGGCACTGATGGGCACTGGCAGGTGGCATTGATGAGCACTGACAGCTGGCACTGATGGACAAAGACAGGTGGCACTGCTGGGGCTACACAGATCATCAGGGCACACTGATCATCAGTGCCCTGATGATCAGTGTGCATGTCACCTCCGAGGAATGCTGATTACCGGCTCTCTTCTCCTCACGAGATGTCAGCGTGACAGTCCGTGAGGAGAGAAATGCCGATAACAGGCATTTCCATGTTTACATGTGATCAGCTGTGATTGGACACAGCTGATCACATGACCGAGCCGACATCTTTGGCTCTTTCCGTTGATTGGTGATCCGCACCACCGATTGCCATGCTGCACGCTCCCGGAGCGTTTCGAATGGGACGATGTCCTCCCAGAACGAGAGAACCGCCTTGCGCCCGTCATTGTACTATATGGCGGGCGGAAGGCGGTTAAACAAAAATTCTTCCTGAGACAATCATTTATTTTCAATAAAACAATTATTTACTCATGAAAACTAGTGTTAGATGTATTTAACCTCTTCCTGCTGTGGCCTGTCAGTGAGTGGGCTTTTACGTCGAGCGGCCTCATTTATACATCTGTATGTAAACATTTTACTGTGCTGAGAATGTGTTCCCTGCACACTCCCAGCACAGTAACTAACATGTCACGGAAAGCACCCAGATGCATACTTGCAATCTGGAACTTTCTGATCATATGACTGCTGTGACAGCCAATCACAACAGTCACATGATCGAAATTTACACCTCTGCCTCCCGGCATTTGGATCCACTTAAATGGACAGAAAGTGGTGGCAGGAAGGGGCTATTTACTGGCTTCTCTCAGCACAACATTTATAAAAAAAAAAGAGGTTACAATGAGAAGGTAGGATTAGGATCAGGGTTTACCCTTTGGGGTCTACTTATAAATGTTTTTCACACATGATTTACTCATGGTTCATACATTTTTAAAAATAGATTCTGTTGAAAAAAATCTGTGTATTCTGGGTGAAAGTTAAGTGAATCTTGTCTTAAGCTATTTATAAATAGACCCCTTTAAGTATACAGTAAGTGTTGGCTAATAAAAAATAAAAAAACTGACATATAATTTAAGTAACAGTGGACTCCATTCACTAAAGCAGATTGCATGCGGCATTTGGGTGATCTGACACGTTTTTCGCCAAATATCGCATGTAATGCTGAAAATATCAATTTACTATCTTTTTATGCAGTATTAACCTCAAAAACACAAATTGTTGGTAAATACCACATAAAATGGCATTAAAGTAAACTCATTAAATGAAACAAATAAATAAAAGCATTAGTTAAATAAGTAGTGGCCCAGGCAGGCGATATTGAGGGAATGTAAAAATATAATTGCCAATTTGGAGTAGTCTCTGCCTATTTGGATCAGTTCTTTCAACAGTAATGCATAGAAGCAAAAATATGGATAGAACAGAAATGTTATGTTTAGTAAAATATATTTATTTTCTCCATTCATTTCATCAGATTTCAGAGACTTTTTGTGCACAAACAAGTATATGCATCATTTGCTGCTTAAACCTCCCAATATCTCAAAATATAATAATAAATGTCCCAAATATGATACAATGTACATGCATATATTCTTAAAAAGGTGTGGAACTTGAGCTGTTAGGAAAGGGATGTCATCAATTTGAAGATTTGACAAATGGATACCAGAGTGACACTTTCCAGAACATCAAAGATAGGGGGAGATTTTGTAAAACTAGAGAGTAGGTAATCTGGCACAGCTGTGCAAAGCTGCCAATCAGCTACTAGATGTAATTGTCATAGTTTAATTGAGCAAGCTGAATTTAGATGGTGATTGGTTACTATGAACAGCTGCACCAGATTCTCTGGCCTCAAGTTTTAGTTATGCCGGCCATACATGGGTCGAAATTTGACTGATTTTTTTATCCGAAAATCGGACCTAAGACTAATTGGCCAATTTTCGCTCTGTTAGTAGGTCAATGGCATCAGTCAATTTTCGTGGCTCGTCCCCTTTTCAGTGATCAGGCATGTTGGAAAATTTGTGAAAAACGACTGATTTTCGACTCAATGATGGTCAAATCGTACGATCGTTTTTTCCGAAAAGAATATACGCATAAGCTGTGACCTGGGAGGAACAGAAGTTTTGCCTGTAATATGAGGTGAACTTTATGACTTGGTCAGCCGATTTTCGAAAACATTGATGGCACCATCGGATAACCGAGTTAACAACGTTTTCGATTTTCGGACCAAAAATTGTTCAGAATTTGTCCGTTGTATGGCCTGCATTACTCTCCCCCAGTGCCTGTTCATTAGCAAGAGAAAACAGACATGTTCAAAGATATAGCAATGAATTTGCCAAATATCACTGCAAAATTGATTTTAAAGTGTGGCTAAAGGCCATTGTGGATACATTAATTGAGGGTAAGAACCCCCATCAATTGTTTTTTGCCATTTGTTTCCCATTGGGGAGATTTCCCCTCTGTTAGTGTTCCAATGTCAACCCAAAATGTGGGATTTTATTTCCCTTTTAATGATAAGAGTGATTCTCTCTAACAGGGGCATAGACAGCAATAAAAACAGGTGTTCTAATGTCTCTCCGCTGTGACTATCCCAGTGGATATGTTGTCATGTGATAAAATACTGATTCATATAAAGCAATAAATACTGAAAACATTGCGGAAATAATACATGCCTCATTTTATGAGTGTTTTTTAGTTAATTGCAAAAAAATATTTTGCAAAACGCTGGGAGGTATTTTACCATGGATCTTAAAGCGGTAGATACTGTTTTGAATGGAGCCCAGTATGCTTAATAAGTTTTAAAAAGCAGAATAGCACAAATTAATGAGAAAAATATATTGCTAGGCTTATATTTTCTTAGGGTTCATATAAGTGGGTGTCTGTGTCAAACATAGCCCCTTTCACTTGAACACAGAATGAAAAAAGGTTCCATATTCCTTCCTTTGCTTGAATTCAAATTCTCTTCAATAGGAAATGCTGCAACTGAAGAAACAAAATGCAAAGTAGGTTAAATGAAGCCTCTGTCACATAGTCAATGGTAACGTGCTGGACTGCATTTAAGGTGCTTTTCAAAAACACATCAAACATAGGCAAACAACACACATCTACATGACCCCTTATTTAAATACACTATTAAAATGGTAATATTTATATAGCTTCAATTATTTTACAATGATGTATCATTTATGTGAAGCTGAATGCAACCTGTTTTATGTTAGCTGTCAATTCAGACTGGGGAGAGGATGAGAAAAATCTGCTTGCTTGTCATTCAGTAAGATTACTCATCAGGGAGACTGAAGAGTGTAGAAAAAGAACCTTAAACCCATATAACTATGATAAGAAATAACAAGCCATTTATAGCAACACGTGCTTATGGTTTACTGTTCCACTAAATAATGGAGAATTTTAATTCCTTTTAATTAATGAGTTACAATTTACATGATATATTCAATATATCCTACTGTCTATGTGTTTGCTTTCACACAGTATATTCATTATATTCCATTGCTTTTCTACACCCAAAAGCAAACTTAAAAACACGTGTAATCCCAACTAACTATATTATTATTAATATTTGTTTTGTCAATAATTACTCATATAAAGTAGTGGTCAGACACCATTATTCATTTATGTATGTATTTATTTATTTAATAATGTATATAGAACAAATATAACTGTTGTCCTCTGATAAAAGCCCCTAATTGGAATTAGACATAATTACACTCTATAAGATACCCAAGGCTTTTCAATCTTTAAATAAATGTAATAATTCTATTTGAATTTGACTCTGCCAATTTATAAAAGGATTTATGAGCTGAAAGCAACACATTTAAATGCCACCATGGCACGGGGTAAGTATTTTGTAGAGATTAGTTAAGCATTTTAAATGAAAGTAATAATAATTAAGTGTAAAGGTTTATAATTCAGCATAAGAAAGAAGGGAAAGTTGAGCTCTCACCACTTCCTCTAAGCTTCCCTTTGGATGCTGTGTTAAGCTGTCTGGTAGAACAAAAGTGTTTATTATAGGTTTAACATTAATTGAAAGCCAAGAGGAAATAGACTTAGGCATTAGACAGGAGCTGAAACTGATGTGTTAGAACTGAATGAATTCATCATTAAGATTTTTTTCTACTAGGCAAATAATCTAATAAGCTAGTTAATGAGTTAATGTTGAAAATATTAATCATGTAATTTTACATTACGGTAACTGTAGTAGCATAAAACAGAGACATATTTTTATCACAACAACATATCCTTTTTCTGGTCATGATCCCAGACCATATGTTGAAATTAATAAACAGCCAATACCAAAATTAATCTTCATGCTCAGTCTCCTTGGAAATGCATTTTTGCCCAGTTGTTAACAAGGCAGATGCCATGTATAACATTGTATGCTGATCCCCATGCCCCATGGCAGCCTCAGGCTTAACACTTCCATATGCATGACACCTATTAACATTCCTTTAAATAGTTGGTCCCAGCAAGAGAAGCAGCTTTCTCAAGCCATTGAGTACAGGATTTCATCTGAGCATGCTCATTCAGCGGAGATAATCATTGGAACCAAGCTGACTTCTTGCAGAGAATGTGACTCCACTCTCAGCAAGAGAGCAAATTGAAAATGACTCGGGGCAAGGTTTGCTAAGCTGGAAAAATGAATTAGATACACTCCTAAGACTAACCTGAAAAGATTACATTTGAAGGAGAAAGAGAACTCTGAAGAGCTGAATTCTGTTTGCACCTGGGGATTGGAAATTGTCTGTAGCTTTAAAATAAGACCTCCCCGTGTTTCACTTCAAATCAATGTGTTTTATTGCCATTTTGCTACAGGAATACCACAAATTAACCTATCCAATTGAGTTGTCTTATAGCTAAAGAACAGTTTTATAAGAAGACAGCTCAATATGATCAGTTTTTATTAAAAATGCATTTTAAGAAGTGCACGTTTCTGTTCTTGGCTCTGCATATATTATATTATTGTTGTTACCTAACAAAAAGAAAGTCTTCACAAAGCAGGTATATTCTGAAATGCTATTATACAATAATGAAAGGTTCATTTAACATCCTTTTGTAGACTATCAAAGGTCATCTTTACGCAGTGTAACTAATGCTGAATAACATTTCCCATGATGCTTAACCATCTGAAGGTTTACTGAACATGATGAGAGCTTTTCTGTTTTTAGAGACGTTTGGCAGGTGGTAGTGAGCAGTGCAAGGCAGTTGTATGCATTTAGATTTGAATCATTCTAGAACCCATATTAGACTGGAAAATGTTGACTTTTTCATTTT